TCCGAGGGTGTAAATCCTTACGGGAGTAGAAAGCCTCATCTTTCTCCCGCGGAGCGGCTGGTAGTTTCGATCCGCTGACCTTAAGGTTCGCAGCCTGATTCGTAACCACTACGCTACCAGAGCTCTGAGTAGCATAGTGGTTACTAATTGGGCTGCAAATCTCAAGGTTAGCAGCTCAAAACTACGTTCTGCGGGAGAAAAATTAGGCATTCTGCTCACATAAAGATTTATAGCCTTGAAAACCCTGTGTAGCATTCCACTATGAGTTGGAACTGATTCAGGGGTACATAACTACCACCACCATGTTGCTGTTGTTAAGTACCGTGGAGTCAGTTCCAAGGCTGTAGATCTTTACGGGAGCAGACCACCTCATTTTTCTCCCACGGGGCTGCTGGTAGTTTCGAACTGCTGACCTTGAGGTTAGCAGTCCGATTTGTAACCACTACGCTAGTGAGCCATCCATTAATTTTATAGATACTCTGTAGCAGAGTCCTTGGCATATAGAGTAAAAGCTGGTTATTAGAAGAATGTGTCTGCTTGAGTATAGACAGCATTATGGACTGTACACATCTTGTTTACAGAGCCCTGATCATATTGGAATACCATGTGGACACTTTTAGTTGGTTTGAAGGCTGTTACTCCCCGCCTACTAAATCAGAATATCTAAGATTGAATGTGGAATCTAAATATTGCTCCAAGTTAATAATTTGTAAATGCAATATAATTTATTAGTGATACAATATTATCTCATTGCTAACCTTCAGGGCTGGGAATATTGTTGAAGGATTCAATAATTGAAAAGTTTAATGAAATAATCACAGTCTAACCTAGAAATAAAACAATTTAAAGGGAAATGAAGTCTTGAATCTTGAGTTTTATGTTTTATAAAATGAAGTGCAAAGCTTTTTAAAACAAAAGGTGACTTTTATAGTAAAGATGCAAACAGAAATTACAATGAATCATAATTTGTCTTAGATTGGACTAGAAATTCTCTGGTAGCGTAGTGGTTACGAATTGGGCTGTGAATCTTAAGGTCAGCAGTTCAAAACTGCCAGCTGTTCTGCAGAAGAAAGATGTGGCTTTCTGCTCCTGTAAAGATTTACAGCCTCAGAAACCCTGTACAGGGTCGCTATGAGTCGGAACCTACTCCACGGCACAGAAACATTTAAAAAAATCTTTGATAAATCTTCTTGCTTTGAAATTTCTTGTAGATTGTTTTCTGCCTTATGGTTTGTATATCATCTTTGAATTGCAGAGACCTCTCTTGCATAGTAAATATTTCTCACAGCAGTAGCCATTTCAGTACTGCAGTAGTCCTGTGTGAGGTACAGATGCTTCTTAGCTGCTTCTCTTGGCTGGAAGCTGGGCATTTTACCCCACTGTGTTTTCAGGTTTGGGGGCTGGTTATTATAATTGATAGTCATTTCTGTGTTAATATGGCTTTTAAATACCCTCCAGTCAGTTCTTACTCATAGTGACCCTGTATAGGGTTTCTGAGGAATGACTGGTGGGTTTCAACCATTGACCTTGCAGTCCAGTGCTTTCCAGAACTCCATGTGTTAATAATAGTTACATCTATTTTGCATGTGCTGCAGATACTAGCAATGAAAAGATGAGGCCATGCCATTCCCACCTTTCTCCTTACCCTCCTCTTAGTGTTCTAAAAGATGTTCTGTCAGTGTTTTTCTTTATCTAAGATTGTTTTGTGTGGCCCTTAGTATTTTACGTGTCTTTGCTATTTGAAAATATTTGACCGTGCATGGTGTTGTGGGTTTGAAATGTTAAATCAGTAACTTCTTTCAGTTTTTAAGATTCTTTAATAATTAAACATGTTTGAGAATTACGTCTGCCAAGTGTCATTGCAAAATCTTGAGTAATGGTAGATTAAACATAGGCTGGGTGATTCAAATTATGTATATCTCTCAGCTCCTACACATGGGATTTCAATGATAGTAAACCTAAAATACAGCCTTATTGAAGGCTCTGTTTCTTTTCTGGCCAGTTTGCATCCTTTGACAGCTCAGTTAGGGAAAGTCTGTTTTGTCATATCTAAATATGCTTGCAGGGTAGATTAGATTTAGAAATGTGGTACAATCTGAAGTGTGTGGCTGTTGTACTACTCTTTTTATGTAGAGGGAAATAATTATAAAGTATGCTTTGATTTCATAGTACTCATATTTTAAAATGTTTTATATTGCTATGGTAGCACACTAAAGGAATGCTTGAAGGCATATAATCTGTTTACTGTAAGCCAAAGAAAAATAAAGGCTATTTTTGAAATGTTTGAGTTTCTTATTCAGTCTACCATTTTTCACTTTTGTTGATAATATTTGTCGAATGGATTTAATATTTAAGGGTAGTTTACCAATTCAGAAGATAAATCATGTCTTAAGTTTTAAGAAAACAAAAAAATGCAGGGTTTCCTACATAGCAGAAATTTGTGCATGAATATAAGAGCTACTGTATTTTAGTCATAACTTTGGTTAGATACGATTAGTTTATTCTTTTAAAAAAATTTAAAACAGTTTATTGTGTTTTCGGTGAAAGTTTACCCAGCAAATTTTTATCCCATTTATCAATTTATATACAAATTGTCCTGTGACTTTGATTGCTATCCCAGCACTGTGTCAGCATTGTCCCTGCTATCTACCCTTCCTTCCTGTTCCCATCCCTCAGTTTCTCTGTCCCTCCTTGCCTTTTTACTGTGCTTTGGGGCAAATGTTGTCCATTTGGCATCATATAATTGATCTAAGGAACAAATTACTCATGGGTGATTTTTTATAGGCCAATCTCTTATTTAGCTGAAAGGTAACCTCTGGGAGTGACTTTAGTTCCAGGTTTTAAAAGGGTGTTTTAGGGTAAGAGTCTGAGGAGTTCCTCCAGTCTATCAGTTTAATGAGTCTGGTCATTTTTATGAATTTGAGTTTTGGTTCTACATTTTTCTCCCATTTTATCTGGTGCCCTTTGTTGTGTCCCTGATCAGATTGGCTAGTAGTGGTAGCTAGGCTCCACCTAGTTCTTCTGGTGTTAGTCTAAAAGAGGCTGTGGTTTGTGTGAGCCTTTAACCTTGTGAATTAAGTGCTTCTTTGGTTATCTTTCTTTGGTTATCTTCAGTCTCCTTTGCACTAGATGGGAAAGAGGACAGTAGTATCTTAGATAGCCACTCTAAAACTTTTAAGAACCCCGGATGCTACTCACCAAACTAGGATGTAGAACATATCTTTACTAACACTGGTTTATTCTTGTTGAGGTTTCTAGTTGAACAAGTGCAGTTTTATTGGTTGTGTAAAGATTACGGCCTGGAAAACCCTGTGGGATGGCAGTTGTCCTCTGTTCTTTTGGGCCCCTATGATAAATCTGAATCAAGTAGATGGCAGTAGGTTTTGGTTGTTATTGTACTTGTTTAGTGTTTTAAATGTTGAAACATAATATTGAAATCTTTCTGAAATATTATTTGGATTTATATCTAAAAGCTTTCCTTATGAACATCAAGTGTCAATTTGTCCAGAAATTATAAGTAATACATTTCTTTAGATATTTGCATTGTGGATAGGAATGACCTTAATGTGTGTGTATTTTAACTTTGGCTGTCACTTTTAAGGCTGAAAATTTCTGGATCCTTCAAAAATTAAATAGACATTTATAAGAATACTTTAAAAAAAAAAGTTTAAATTAATTTACTTTACCTTGTTTTAACTTAAAGATTGTTGCCTTGTTTCAGGTTTAGTGTTGATAAACAAAACGTCTCATGTTAACCACTGCTCTTGATGGTATTTTGAGTTAGTATTATACATTGATGTGTGACCATTTATCTTCTGGGTGGGCTTATTTAATATTATAAGTGAATGCTGCAATATAGGATGGGGCTTTAAAAAGTTCTTAGAAGAATTCCATCTTTTAATTCAATTTTTCTATAAATTCTATACATATTCATTCTAAAAGGATATTGTATTTCATAGATGAACTTGAACACAGGCTATTTCATATGTTTATGTATGTTGTTGTTAAATGCTGTCAAGTAGGTTCTTATTCATAGCGACCCTGTATAGGGTTTCTGAGGAGTAGCTGGTGAGTTTGAACTGCCGACCTTGTAGTTCAAACTGACCTTGAGGTCTTGAGCTTATCCTACAGGACTCCATTTTTTATATCTGTAGTATTTCAGTTTTAGAAGACAAATGATTATTGTGTAAAAAGAATGATTATTTTAAGAACTAATAAAGGCACAAAATTCAGGTTTCATTTTGAAAAGGAGTGCTGTTTTGACATTAATGCCATTGGTCTTTACAATTTTATAAATAATTAACTGAAATGTGTTTTATTTAAACTGTACTTTTCCTTAATTTTTTAATTGAAGAATCAAAAATATGAAGTTTTTATATAGATAACAATAAGCATAGGATTACTTGATGAAGTTAATTTCTCCCCAAGTTCTCCATTTTCAGATGTCTCAAGAAAACAATATCATTATATATGTTAGACCTTAAATATTTGAAAAATATTTTAAGATGCAGTGATGTGACATTAAATTTAGTGCTTTTAATTTCTTTACTCTCTTGCAGCATTTTCAGTTAGCTTTGGTTGACTGTAATCCCTGCACTTTGTCCAATGCTGAAAGTAAGTATTACTATATACTGTAATTTTATACATATATTCAAATCACTTCATCACTGATGATGATAATGTTGTTGGTGATCAGTTCTGTGGAATTTTTTCTTCTAGAGTTGTTAAAACAAACTTTGTATTTGTTGCTATGATTGCACAACTGGAACGTGTGAGACTGGTCTGTGTGTAAAATAGAGATTCCACTGAAGTGGGTTGTTCAATTAAAATTATCTGCACTATTGAACATGGTTGACTATTTGTGGATTAGTAATACTGTCGATGACTTGGGGTTAAAAAAGGCTTTGCCATTCTTTTAGGAAAAGTGAATATTCAAAGATACATGTGATAGCCTACAGATTCCTGCTTAAAAGTACTTGCAATTATGAAGATATACTCTTAGCTTTTTATTATAATTGTACACATAAGCTAAGTCTGAAGTCACATTTTCAGCGAATTAAAAGTGCCTTCTTGAAGCATGTTTTGATACAATAGTTTTCTTCAAACAGTAATTTTCTGCTGCTTCATGTAGGTTTCTTTATAATAACAGATTGGGTTGATTATAATGTGTTTACCACTAAATATATGATACCATTTTTACTTAAAAAGTAAGCATTTTAATTTGTAGTTTCAGTCATAATGTATGAAAAATCAAGTGGTTCTTAATAAAAATGTCAAGTAATTTTTAAATAATTCTGGAATTTAGAAAATCAGTGTTTTGATATAAATTACTTGGTCTTTCAGTAGTACAGAAAGATATGGAGTGAAAAGTAGTCTGTGTTTAGATAATACCTGCCTAAGAAAGTAATTGCATCAGAGAAAGAGGTATAGAATTTTGGATATAATTTGATGAGTAAATAATATGGATTAAGACATAATATGGATTAAATGTTCATCTGAACCAGACGAGTTAACCTCATACTTTTGCTAAGGGCAGATTTAGGGGGAAACTTAACTATTTCTTTGTTATTTTAAATGGAAATGCTAGGATTTAGTGCTGTTCAGTGTGCTTGCAGAATAAATGATGGCAAGGTAACAAACGCAGCAATAGTTTACAGTTTCTAAGATGAGCTTATATTTGAAAGATAATTTTACTCATTGATTTGCTAATTTTAAAAGTGTTAGTTTATACTTCTTTCATAATTATATATATCCAAGTCATGTAAACCATCTAGAATATAAATCCTTAATTAGGAGTAATTTATGGGAATAAGGAAAATGCTGATTTTCATTTAATTCAGTACCATCTAATTTTAACTGAATTCTTACTTTGATAACTATTTGTTTGAACGATAGCTTCTAAGGGCTGTTTTATAAACGTCAAACAAAATATTTGGTAAATCGTTATATTCTACTCTACTGAGGTTAAATCTTACCTGTGGATCACTTTTGTTGAGAGAAAAACATTTACATACATAGAATGAGTGCCACAAAGTAGGAGGTTTTCATGTCAGAATCAAAGAAGACAATTTGAATTATTATAAGTACACCTTCAACTCTATTATGGCTCTCTTTTTCTTAGTTATTGAAAAGGGAAATACAGAATATAGAGTGATTAATGTTCTGTATTGCCTTGTACTTGAGGAGCTTCCCAGGACACAGGATTTAAAGTACTAAAAGATTCGTCATTTTTAATGAGAAGACACATGCTTCATTTATATAGAATCTTCGATGAGTAAAATCATAATTAGATACCTGGAATCCAGTTTAATTGTTGATTTTGTTGGATCATTCATACTCTAGTAATAACAGTATTAGGAATAGCTAGATATAAAAGCTGAAATATTCTGTCTGTGTTTGATTTTCAAGATACGTTTGTTAATCTTGGCACTTTCTTGACTTCTATGTGGCTTGGATTTTTTTTTGTTTTTTTTCTTTAAACAATAAATGTCTTTCAATTTTAAAGACGATGTAGCAACAATTCATTTCTTCTGTGTGTTATTACCAGCATCATCCTGGACTTTGGCTTCTTTATAAATTTTATTTATAGGAAATGTATTATGGAACTTTTTGAAACATTTTTATCTTTTATTAAAAATTGATTTTTAAAACTTAGGAGTCAGTTTTTAAACTGTTGAAATGTATCGGTTTTAAAATACATTTTCTTTACTTAGTGTTGTCACTGAGTTTTGTAAGACATATCCTTATTATCTATAGATTTATTGGTTAATTTTAATAATAACATTGGTAGAAATTTTGATAATGACTAAGTGTGTTTTTTATTTTTAATCATGATCATGCCTTTTGTTCTTAATTTTATTTATATATTCTATTTATTAAAAACAACAGCTATATTCCTCTGTTACTTAAATCTATATGGTATAGACTATACTTGGTGTATAGTCCAGTTTATATTATTTTTATTTTATTTATCCTAAACTCTGCTGTATGTGATTGATTTTTATTTTCTATCATTTGTTGCAGTTCAATTTCACATTGCCCATTTATATGAAACCCAGGTAAGTGTTTTAACTTACCTACTTTAAAACAAAACAAAAATCATCATTCATATCATGCAACCAAGTATTTTGCTTAGTGAAACAGTTATTTTTAGAGAAATTAAGGTATTTGAGATTCATATTCAATATGTTGATAGTAATATTTTTAAATCTGAATATCTGTCTTTGTGCTCAGTTCCCAGAGTACTTGCTGTGTGCAAAATATCTTTTTAAGATTTGCCTCAAAACTTAAGCCATATATAAAAGCTATAATGTCTATATTTGAAATTTCTCACATCCTTGATGTGAATTGATTAATTTTCTTTTCAAATGCTTATACATGGTTATAATGCATTATCTTTGAATAACTTCTCTTCCGTTTTTCCCCAAGATTGAAATGTTTATTCTACATGTTACTGTATGAAAGACATATTAAAGTCACCTTTTAAGGCATTGCCACTGTTTTTCTGGGCTTCTGTATTTTTTAAAAAGTCGTTTCATTTTAATTGTAGGACATTTTGGTTTTGTGTATGGCAGATTTTGCTTGGTTTTGTAGTAAAAAGTATAGTACATAGAAATTCACTTTAAGGAGTGGCACTGGAAAATGAAGTAGAAACTGGTATGAGACCTAAAAAAAAGGTAATCCTAGTTTAACCAGAAATGAGTAGTTAAACATTAAAGGATTTCATTTTGATATTAAAATACAAAACCAATTTAATAACAGCTTTTCAGGAAAAGGACCCCTGGCGATGCTGTGAGTTAACCATATTAGGCTACTAACAAAAAGGTTAGCAGTTCTAACGCACTAGCTGCTCTGCTGAAGACAGATGAGATAGTCTGCTTCCCTAAAGATTTACAACATTGTAAACCCTATGGAATAGTTCTACTCTGTCCTACAAGGGCACAATGAGTTGGAATTGACTTGATGGCAGTGGGTGGGTTTCAGGAAACAACAAAACACTGATTTTGTAGTTGTTAAGTGCCGTCAATTCTGACCCATAGCGACCCTGTATAGGGTTTCCAAGGAGCAGCTGGTGAGCTTGAACCACCAACCTTGCAGTTCAAACAATTTTGCAGTCTGACGCATTAGACCACAGCGCCACACCAGGACTCCAACTGATAGGTGATCCATAATTTTTATAGTCTATTTTGATGTTTTTGTCAAAGATGCCATGCATTCAAGATCTTAGTATATACCACTATTTTTACTGAGAAGCAGTCACATAGTGTGAGTTAATTTATACCGTTGATTCCCAAGTCCAGTTGTTAGCAAAATCTACTGAAAAACTTTACAAATCCACCACCATGAGGAGCTTTATTGGCATTAAATTCCTGGACACTCACTCCACATATACACATCTCCTATACTCACTGAGTTAGAATTGTTGTACACACTGGTTTGACTACCTTATTTAACCAATTTAGGGATTTTTGTTTGCTTTGAGAAGGTTGCATTTAGTTACATGCATGCCTTGTTTCAAGAGCCTTTACCTGTCAATGTTAATACTAGCTTTCTGTCCATACTGAAAATAAGTTTTAGGTCTCAGAGTAAAACAGCTAACAGAAATTAACTTCTTTTTCAAAATTATTTTCTGCCTGAAGTTCTAACTCTACCTGTTCTTATTATTTCAGTACCTTTTTTATGCTTTCAAAAGGACAGTTTCTGATTTTTTTTTTCTTTTTCTTTTGTTCTGTCTTTTCTGCTTCTTGGTAGGAACACTGATTTTTTTCTTTTTTCTTTTTTTAGCTGAAGCAGAAATTTTCTTGCCTTTATTTGTAATGAGTATTTTTGTTATATTTGGAATTCTAATTATTAGGATTTTTGTTTTTAAATTCAGTTTCATAGTTTTGTGATTTTCATTGTTTCTGATGAGAACTTGCCCATTGGTTATACTGTTTATATGAAGATACTAGATGGAGATAGGACCCCTCCTCCTATTGATTCGTTAATTTGAGAATTTTTACTTCCCATTTAGATAAAGCAAAATAAACACAACTATAGTAAGCCAAGTTTCTAATTATTGTGTTGTTAAGTGCTGTCAAGCCAGTTTCTACTTGTAGCGACCTTAGGGTTTCCGAGGAGCAGGTGGTTTGAACTGCTAATCCTGTGGTTTGCAGTCCAGAGCTGATGTTACCGCATCATATCAGAAGTCCATATAATTATTAGGTGACAGGATTTAAAACTTTACCAGTGCTTATAACAAGAGCTTTCTTTTTTTAGCCGAAAAATTCAGGAAACAAAAAGCCCTGTTTACCAATAGAACGTTACCTTTTATGTTTCAACTAATTTATACCAACAGAGACCTTATTCATGAATAAGGATTTAAAATTTTATATACTTATGTATAATTAGTGGCTACCACTCTGGATAATCAAATAATTCAAGGGAAGTTTCTCTATATTGTTGCTTAGTGCCATTGAGTTGGTTACGACTCATAGTGACCCTATATAGGGTCTCCAAAGAGTGGCTGGTGAGTTTGAACGCCAGCCTTGCGGTTCAAACTGACCTTACAGTCCAGTGGTTTATCCCACAGTACATAAAGAAAGAATTTAATACTATCCTGCATCTGGGTAATGAGCATTAGCGGCTACTTCCATCACAGAAGAGATATAATCAGGCCTTTTTAACTCCTGATTGCTGCTGTTGACCTGGTGTGGTGCTGTAGGTTAAACACTGGACTAGTATGCACTGTTTGCATACTAGAATGCATGGTTGGCATTTCAGATCCACCAGTCACCCATTGTGGAACTATTTTTCTGACCAAGGGCCATTTAGATATTATAACATCATTCGTGAGCCATGCAGAATTATCAACTTAAAAGTTAGCCGGCTGTATTTGGTCAAACATTTAATGAGATGGTGTAGGAGCTCTGATAGTGTAGTGGTTCCGAATCGGGTTGCGAACCTTAAGGTCAGCAGTTCGAAACTATCAGCTGCCCCGCGGGAAACAGATGAGGCTTTCTGCTCCCGTAAAGATTTACAGCTTCGGAAACCCTGTACAGGGTCGCTATGTGTCAGAACCGACACGATGGCACTTAACAACTTAACAGTGAATTGGTATGGCGCTTTAGGATCAACACTGGACTGCAAACCACAGGTAGGCAGTTCAAACCCACCAGCTGGTCCTCAGAAATCCTGTATAGGATCACTATGAGTCAGAACTAACTCGACGGAACAACAATATGATGGCGTAGCACTATAGGATGATAAACACACCACTACAATGTCAGTTTGAACTGCAAGTTTGGCTGTTTAAATTTGCCAGCCACTCCCCAGAAACCCTATACTGTATGCTATGAGTTGGAACCGACTCAGTGGTACTTAACAACAACAACAACAACATGATGGCTGGAGCTGTGGTTGCCTTTCCAGGGCTAGAACAAATTACTTCGTGGATGTTACACAGCCCTCAGGCTGGATGGATGTTCCCCATCCTTGCTATACAGGGTTGCTATCAGTAAGGAGCTCTGGTAGCGTAGTGGTTACGAATCGGGCTGTGAGCCGCAAGGTCAGCAGTTTGAAACTACCAGCGGTTCCGCGGGAGAAAGATGAGGCAGTCTGCTCCTGTAAAGATTTACAGCCTTGGAAACCCTGTGTAGGGTTGCTATGAGTCGGAACCGACTCCACGGCACACAACAACAACATCAGTTGGAACTGACTGGACAGCACTTTACAACAATTGTTGTGTAGATTCCTAGTGTGGCACAGTATGATAAGCACTGGACTGCTAACCACAAAGTTGGTGGCTCAAATCCATAAGCCACTCCTTGGAAACACTATAGAGGTCACTGAAAGTCAAAACTGACTCCATGGTGCTTAAAAACAGTGGACAGGCACATTATCTATGAAATATTCTTACCAAAAAATCAATCTGAATCATATCAAACCTCTTTTTCAAGTATCACTTAAAGTAGAGGTTATAGAACAATATGCTACTCAACTACATAGGGATGTGATAAGGAAAATCTGGATTGAAGGTACTTACTTACTCATTTGTTCAGTAAGTTAAGTTTTATTGGCAGAAAGAAGGATGATAGTGGATGGAATCTTACAGATTAAAAGAGAAAAGTCATAATAAAAAATTTTTAATATTTAGATCTTAAGTTGAACTGTTTATTGCATGTAGGATGCACATTGGATATTTTAATATAATATTGGAGGTTTAATAAGTATATAATTACTTCACATTTTTAGGTGTGATAAAGATAATATGATTTTTTTTTTTTTTTTTTTTTTAAAGCTCAAGTTTTTTAGGTATTAACTTGAGAAGCATTTGCAGGTTAAATGATAAGGTATCTGGGATTTGCATCAAGATGATAGAACCAGGGAAGGAGAATAGGGGAGGAATGGTTGAAATAAAATTGACCATGACTAGATAATTATTAACACAGCACAATGCATGCATTGGAGTTCTGTGGTATTTGATGTTTGAAATTTTCCGTAGTTAAATGTTAAAATTCAAAAGTAATGGACAATCTCATTAGCTAGAATTGTTAAGGAAGACCTCTCTGAGAAGGAGCTGTTGGGGCTGAGTCCTGCCTGAATTGAAAGGTGCAGACAGTGATGCAGTGGTTTGTGTGTGTGTTTGTATGTGTCCTCTAATACAGAGATGTATTGCAATTAAAGTACAGCTTTGTGAGTTTGACATTGTAATGTTTGAAAAACAAAAAGATTTTTAATTTCTTATGTTTCCATTTTTGTCTTATTTTGTGCTTTCTCCTTAGTTTTCCTCTTGATCAAGGTAGCTAGCTTTTCAATTTGGAATTTTTGCCATAATACTAAAATTGATATATTAATTCTACTGTTTTTCTTTCTTTTCTCACTGTGATTTCTTTTTTAAATTACAGTTAACAAATTGCTTGTTATTTGGTATCTACTGTAGTAATCCAGTAGTATTCTTTTTCTTTTACTGCACTGAAATTAAATGAATACCTTAAAAAAGGCTTAAACAAAAGTTGATTCTTTGTAAAGAACAATCGGAATAAATAAAACAGTAAATGATTTTCTTGCCAAAAAAAAA